GGGGAGGGGAGAGGGGTATTATTGCCAATCCATTAAGAAAGACAGACAACCTCTTTACCTGACATGATTTTAGTAGTAAAGTTGAGACACTGACATGTATTGAGTATTTGCACATCAGCTGATTGTCTCGTTCATTATGTCACAGTTTTGTTGTGTTAACTCAAAATATGTATGCAGATAAAGAAATAATTCTCAAGATAAATGCTTCATTTTTATGAAGAAACATATATATATATATATGTGTACTCGGGAATAGTTCGACCATTAATGACATGTCATGGGGTTGTCAGTGATATTGCTTGATATGAATAGTCCATGGAATTCACTAAAAAACTTGTCCAACACAGATAAACACAGCTAGTGTACATGTTTAAGACATAACATGGTATTAATTTAAGTTTTAAAATATCATGTACATCTCGCCACCCCTCTGATGAATATGTTAATTGTATATGAATACAAGATCAATACACTAATACTCTGTCTGGACCTTTGGGATGCGGTTGCTCATTGATCCCTTGTATATATCGTATATATATATGAGTCACAATAATTTCTATCAAGCTGGTATAGTCTTAGTTAAATGAGCAGCATTAGATAACTATTTGAATAACAGTGTACTTGTACTGTATATATGGGGCTTGAGGTTTCTGTTATTTATTTTATCATATATAACTGTTAACTCTCCAGTAATGACATGGAGAAAAATTAGATATTGCCATTTGATCATAATAGTTTTAAGTTACTGAATATTTTTTTATGAAAAGTTATGAAATTTCAAAAAATGAATGGGGCTGAGCATGCTGCATTTGCAGGCAAAATACTAGCTAACATTGCTATTGAGAAATCTTATAATACAGTGTTATAATTAATATGTTGTTTAATGGAAAAATAACGCTTTCAATCACCTTGTGGACTTGCAATATGGATGGCTGTTATTAAATAATCTCAATGGTGATTGTTACATATATATATAAAATGTTTGTAAGTTATACCTGATAAGTGATAGCCGTTATACATTATCTAATGTACTTTAAAACATTTTGAGTTATTCTGTATATCCAATATGAGATCCAGTACTTGTATATATGGCATTGTGTAGGATGTATTTCAGCAATTATGTTACGTTACAGATAGCCTTCGAAGAGGCAGCTGTACATTATTAACTTATTTACCCCTGAAATTTCATAATGAACTTTTCCAACCATTGAATTTGAAGAGTATATCACATTAGGTTTGATTTGTGTCATCAATTTTGGCATAGGATTCACCAGCTCACTATTATAACTCATGGGAAGTAGGATTCACTGAAGTTATGATTATGCATTTAAGTGATATATTCTATAATTTTTAAGATACGATATTCATAATTATTTTTACATCATGTATAACAATTTTGTACAAAGCTCACAATTATTGCTTCAAAGAAATTCCTCACTGTGTGGGACACATTTCAAATGAATTCCAATTAATGGTATTGTGAAAAAAACCACAGTTAATTATCAGCAATCCTACGAGAGAAACAATAGCTACACATATTCAGATTAACCTTATAAGTCACTGACAGGTCTTAAACCACAGACCAGGCCAATTATCAGCTTAGATATTAAAGCTTTGAACGGATGACCAATTTTTCACACATGGCCTTGTGTCATGCACACCATGCTTACCCATGTACACATATAATAGATTTTGGAGAAACATTACAATTTTACCTCACAAAATATATACCAAAGAAATATCGCATTTGTTTAACTCGAATACGTACATCTACCCATTCTTTAGCTATAGAAGTTGGAAGGTATAATAATATACCTAGAGAACGTAGATATTGTAAACAGTGTAACTCCCCCTCTGAATTAGAGGACGAATTTCATTTTTTATTGGTCTGTTCTAAATTCCAAAATCTCAGATCTCGTTTTATCAAAAGCTATTATTGGAAAAAACCATCTGTGTTTAAAGTCGTCCAGTTATTGAGTGTCCATAATATTAAAGAATTGTGTATACTAGGAAAATTCATATATGAGGCAAACAAATTAAGGGTATTATAATGGAATATGATTGTTTTCATCCTCTGTACATTGTCCATGATTTGTTTAAAAAATGTTTTGTATACTGATGGGCCAATGGCCCAAAGTTTGAATAAAACTTGAAACTTGAACTTGAACTGTGGAGCAATTAGATACGAGATCCTCAGTCCAGTGATCATGAGGATTAGTTAATAATTAGTCTGTAATGTAGGTCAATTATTGATACCAAAATTATCGTGTGCTGCTTGGGATTCAGCCAGCATCAAGATTTATGATTGCGTTAAGATGTAGGTGGCAGGCAGGTAGGACTCGAGATCTAGGACTCAAAGAAATTGTAGTTACAATAGATGGGTGTTAACATATATATTTTCATATAAATATGTGTGTGATATTTTAACTTAAAACTTAGAACATGTAAGACTTACTTGAGCTTATGGTTACAGCTAATGTAACACAATAATAAGAATAACAAATTTAAACCATATAACATTCCACTGGTCTTCCAAGTTTGGAGGAAACACTTTTTATTTACTTATCAAAATAGCAACATTCCTGAACCCAGTGCCCAAAGTGAGTCCCAGATATTATTCCAGCTTGTGCTTGATCCTGAGGTATACTATTGTCCCGGCCAGTGCCCCAGGTATTGTAACACGGGGTGGGGGCAGGATCAAACTTGCTAATACAGTACATTTCACCTAATATCACGTCTGCTAATGTCATTTTTCGGTTATTATCATGTTTTTTGATGCACCGTTTTTCCTGCTATATAATCTATGCAATTCAATTCTTTTATTATCACCTGATTTTATGTCGATTTCTCTTAATATCACTTTATTTTGGCCACTGTCACTAAAAAAATACAGGTAAATGATGGTAATGATTCATGATAAATGCCCTGGGGACCTTCTGTCACACCCTGGACACATTATGTAAACAATGCCGCAGCCTAACAGGGTATTTTTTACACCTGGCTGACTGTCAAACAATAGGTTACACCTGGCTGACTGTTAAACAATAGGTTGACTTACATACTTGTTAACATCATATTCACCTGTGGTTGGGGGAGCTAGGACAGTCTAACATCTGTAAACTTTTCTAATGCCAATTGCAAGTGTGATGTATTCTTTCAACTAATTATAACATGTGTACTATCTTCGATTACACACTTGCAGCAAATATCTAAGGAAATTAACCTATAAAAAGATGTTAATAGCGAAAGAACAGTATTTATATATCAAGATATAGGTAAATATTTACCAAGTCTCATGTTTACAATTGAATCTTATTCTATATATATATATACATCTATGCAGAACTGGACGGCATATTTATCTCATTATTAATTAACAGTAGACCAGTTAGCCAGTGTATCTTTATTGATGTATAGCACGCTCTTCAGGGGTGAGATGTGAAGCACATTACACAGGGTTTTCAATAGACCCTTGAGGATATGATTTATCTTATTAACAATAGAATAAATAACAGTCTATAGTATGAAGAAACCTCATCAATTTAAATTTGAGAATTCTCGGCCAATCTTAAAAAAAGTGTTTTTTGAAGGATCCCTACTCGCATTGGCATGTATTTTTTGTTATTTTCAAAAAAAAAAGAAATCTCATATTAGTATTATTTTAAACACCAACTTTCATTGATTTACAGCAAGGTAATTTTTTCTTTTACTGAAAGTTCCAAAAAAAGGTTTTGAGTAGGTGCCATTTTCAGTGAGTCCATATTGGAAAATTGCAAACAAACAATTTTTGAAGGAGGGTCCTAGATATATACATGCATGCTCCCTTTGCAATGAAGTACAATAGTGTTGAGAACTGAGATGAGAAGACTTGCGCACAGTATTATAAATAAGGGCTTGCTCCTTACACTTGTTTTTTGAATTGATTGCATCTGATATCAATATGTAGGTGTGCGGGTATCGAGGCAATTTTTATATTGCAATACATTGTTTTGCTAGAAATTCTGTATATTTTTATACGTCCGTCAAATTTGATGAGAGTATTATGTATGGTATAGGGTTGTCCGGCCGGCCGGCGTAATCTTTTGTTTGTCCGGCAATGTCCTCCTACATTTTTCGACCTTATCTCTTTGAAACTTGGTATTCATCAAAATCATGATATGAAGTTGTGTCTCCCTTAAAAGAAATTTGATTCAACAATTTTTCCAAAAGTAATTGCCCTTTGTTTATTTCAGTATTTGATTTTTGTCCGGCAATGTCCTCCTACATTTTTCAACAGATCTCTTTGAAACTTGGTATACATTATAATCATGATATGAAGTTGTGTCTCACTTAAAAAGAATTTTGATTCAACGATTTTTGCAAAAGTAATTGCCCTTTGTTCATTTCAGTTTTTGATTTTTTGTCCGGAGATTTTCTCCTACATTTTTTATAGCATGTCAGCTAACCAATCTTAGAATGATGCAGATCTGATTTCAATGTAAGAAAGTATATAACACTATTTGACATTCAACGGGCGTATATTGTTCCGCCCCGCGGTACTCTTGTTAATAATTTTATATAGAAAACACAAAAGGTAATCATCATTTCAGCAAGATTAAATGGTAAATTGAAAAATATTATATATATTTATATTATAGAATAAAATAATAAATCTGTCAGATCTACCGCTATATTAAATATATATATACATGTATAGAGATTTGGAAGTTATTTTGGATAACTCAATCCCATTATAGCATTACCAGGGCATTTCTGTCAGATTATTTCACAATTGTGCCCAAACCCTCCAAATATGTTTGCTGTATATTGCCATTTAAAAAACTATATTGTTATATATATTGCCAGACAAATATTGGCATTGCAGTATTATTGCCCACCCCTGCTCAGATGTAGGCTATTGTTTGTACATATGTTATAACTTGTTATTGTCTTGCTCTTTGTCTTCTTTAAATTGTTATGTAATTACAAAAGGGCAATGCTCGAGGAATAGAATTGAATATTTTGTAAATATGCACTGTGATGTAACCTATAGGCTTCAGCTTGTGCACTACAAATTACCATTGTGTGAATCTATATTAGGCTGTGACAATTAAATTACTTCTGTAAACAGTTGTACTTTAGACCTATAATATACTTTTAAATTGCTTTTCAGTGTGCAGAAGTGGGCCGAGAAGTTGGATAATGACTTTGAAAAAGTTGCTGTGGATGGTACAGGCAGTACAGTGCTGACAAAGGTAAGATACACCAATCAAGATTAGTGAACAACACAAGTTGTACCTGCTGGGGGCTGTAACATTCCTTACTACCTTATCACATTCAATTTATAGCTATTGATCACCTGATTACCTAGGGGTCAATTCAATACTATTTAAATAAGGTTTGACAAGCAAAAAAAAGTCTCAAGCAACAGCCATCATATAGAGCCTGACAAAGAAAACAGAGTTGTTAAATTACCAACAGACTGAAAAGTGAATAAAACATGATGTGACCACCAACAATCTGACAAAGAGAACAGAGATGTGACAACCAACAATCTGACAGAGAGAACAGACATGTGACAACCAACAATCTGACAGAGAGAACAAAGATGTGACAACCAACAATCTTACAAAGAGAACAGAAATCTTACAACCAACAATCTGGCAAAGAGAACAGAGATGTGACAACCAATAATCTGACAAAGAGAACAGAGATGTGACAACCAATAATCTGACAAAGAGAACTGACATGTGACAACCAACAATCTGACAAAGAGAACAAAAATGTTACAACCAATAATCTGACAAAGAGAACAGAGTTGTGACAACCAACAATCTGACAGAGAGACCAGACATGTGACAACCAACAATCTGACAAAGAGAACAGAGATATGACAACCAACAATCTGACAGAGAGAACAGACATGTGACAACCAACAATCTGACAAAGGAAACACACATGTGACAACCAACAATCTGACAAAGAGAACAGAGATGTGACAACCGACAATCTGACAAAGAGGCCAGACATTTGACAACCAATAATATGACAAAGAGGACAGACATGTGACTACCAACACTCTGACAGAGAGAACAAAGATGTGACAACCAACAATCTGACAAAGAGAACAGAAATGTTACAACCAACAATCTGACAAAGAGAACAGACATCTGATGACCAACAATCTGACAAAGAGAACAGACATGTGACAACCAACAATCTGACAAAGGAAACACACATGTGACAACACAAAATCTGACAGAGAGAACAGAGATGTGACAACCAACAATCTGACAAATAAACAGACATGCGACAACTAACAATCTGACAAAGGAAACACACATGTGACAACCAACAATCTGACAGAGAGAACAGAGATGTGACAACCAACAATCTGACAGAGAGAACCGAGATGTGACAACAATCAATCTGACAAAGAGAACAGACATTTGACAACCAACAATCTGACAAAGAGAACAGAGATATTACAACCAACAGTCTGACAAAGTGAACAGACATGTGACAACCAACAATCTGACAGAGAGAACAGACATGTGACAACCAACAATCTTACAAAGTGAACAGACATGTGACAACCAACAATCTGACAGAGAGAACAGAGATGTGACAACCAACAATCTGACAAAGAGAACAGAGATATGACAACCAACAATCTGACAGAGAGAACCGAGATGTGACAACAATCAATCTGACAAAGAGAACAGACATTTGACAACCAACAATCTGACAAAGAGAACAGAGATATGGCAACCAACAGTCTGACAAAGTGAACAGACGTGTGACAACCAACAATCTGACAAAGAGAACAGAGATATGACAACAAACAGTCTGACAAAGTGAACAGACATGTGACAACCAACAATCTGACAAAGTGAACAGACATGTGACAACCATCAATTTGACAAAGAGAACAAACATGTGACAACCAACAATCTGACAAATCGAGAGAGGACATGACAACAACTATAGCAAGGAGAACAGAGGTGTGACAGCGAAGAGTCTGACAAAGAGAAGAAAATGTGATAACAACTACATATATAGAAAGGAGAATGGAGGCACAACCAACGCAAAAAGGAAATTGACAACTAGCAGACAAGTTAGCATTGCAAAGACAAATGAAACTGACAACTAGCTGACAAGTTAACATTGCAAAGACATGAAACTGACAACTAGCTGACAAGTAAACATTGCAAAGACATGAAACTGACAACTAGCAGACAAGTTAACATTGCAAAGACAAATGAAACTGACAACTAGCTGACAAGTAAACATTGCAAAGACAAATGAAACTGACAACTAGCAGACAGTTTAACATTGCAAAGACAAATGAAACACAGTTTAACATTGCAAAGACAAATGAAACTGACAACTAGCAGTCAAATTAGCATTGCAAAGACAAATGAAACTGATAACTAGCAGACAAGTTAACATTGCAAAGACAAATGAAACTGACAGCTAGCAGACAAGTTAACATTGCAAAGACAAATGAAACTGACAATTAGCAGACAAGTTAACATTGCAAAGACAAATGAAACTGAAAAATAGCAGACAAGGCAACATTGCAAAGACAAATGAAACCGACAACCAACAGACAGTTTAACATTGCAAAGACAAATGAAACTGACAACAAGCAGACAGTTTAACATTGCAAAGACAATTGAAACCGACAACCTGTAGACATTCTGCCAAAAGAAATGAGATTGACAGGGAAGAGAGTTGCATGTCAACATACACTGTCTGTTGATACCTTCCCCAGCGAAATGCTGAGCTTTGCATCCCCATATATATATAGCTCTGTATATGGTGAGGACTGATGGGCAATCAGTCGGGACTACATTTAGGCACTTCCAACATGTTGTCTGACACAGGCTAAACATAATAGATGTCTTACAATCAATTACTATCATAGAACAGTCAGCTTTGCTTCACTTCTGTCTCTCCAGAGGTAATTTGTTACAAATTGTCATGTGTATGTTTCGATTGGAACACACAGGCATGGCTGCAGTATACCTACTACTGATCATTGAAAGTGAATACTTCAGCTTAAAATCAATGGTATGTTACTTTGTATATCATAATATATTAGTACTCCTTAAGCTTCATGGAGGTCATGTACCTACAGTACATTTCACTTAAATGCCACACTGTTTAATGTCACTTTTCATTTTATATCATGTTTTCTTGAAACTTTGTTTTCCTGTTTAATCTATGTTATATGTAACTTATCTTAAAGTCCCCTGTCCACTTAATATCATTTGGAAAACATGCTGGTAGATGAGGAAAGGAACCCAGGGTTCATGTCCTGGGAGTCGGGTGTCGCTCCAGCAGTGGTGTAAAAATCCACTTGCCCAACACCCGGGACAACGAGATTTAGCACTTGAGCAAGTGCAACAAACTGGCCCTCTTGGCTATCTGAACTGACTGTATTGTAGTGTGATATACTCAAATATTCTTCTTCTGTATTATTGGATTTCTAATTAAAAGTCTTGGCAAGTGCTTTTGAAAAAAAAGAATTTTGACAGGGGTGTAATTTTTTTCATGTTTTATGTAAATAATATTATGGCCAAACAAGGTCAATCACCATATCTTGCTGATTTCTAAACAATAAATCAGCCTGACTAAGTGACTTTCTTGTGAAGTTCACCTGTTTGTTTGCATTGTATGTAAAGTTCAGTCCATTAGAGTTAAAAATGAGTTCTTTAGCTATAAGCATTTGAAATCTTGAAATTAAATTAGATTATATATTGTTATGGTTATGTAGCCATAAAAGTGGAAGGTTTTCTTTGAACAAAAAACCAATTGATTTCAAAAGAAGATGAAAGAATATTTTTCAAACAAAACTGTGCAAAATTATGTATCATGTAGTTTATGATAATTTGTCATGTTTTGTTTAAAATGATCTGTGGGACACCCAGATAACATGCATGCATATATATATATGTCAATGTCTTGATTTATTGGGGTTTATATGTGTTGATGTCCTGATTCACAAACATATTTCCAATACTGAATTATAGATGTTAAAAATAAAAGTTTCACTTCCTGTAATGTTTTAATTGAATGGTGAATTTGAGCACTTCGTCCCATGGACTGCATGCTCATTATGTAGGTTGTACTCAAACATTATTGTAATCGATAAATCCAATGATTTGATCTGGTAAGCATTACATCTCAATTTACATTCAAGCATAATTATGGATAACCATATCAGATTGTTAAAGTAATGAAGGTCCATTTTTGACATTGGCTTTTGCGGGGACGTAGACACAAAATAAACAAAAAATGAATTGATATAATAAGGTGATTTGCTTTCATTAAATCCTTTAACTGTTTAAAAATATTGTAATCAGAGTTAAGACCAATTTGTTTCACATCATATGACTGGCCAATGCAATGCAACACATGCTCCGAAACATCTCATCCAATGACATTTCTTGCTTCAAATCAACAGGTAGCTAGCTATAGGCTAAAGTAACAAATTAAAGCTCCTGTTGTCGGCACTTGCAGAAAACTATGTCAAACTTGAAACTTGAAAAGCAGTGATTAAAGTACGTAACAAAGGTGGTACTAAAATCAAAGTAGTATAATTATAAAGCTCCAGTTAACTTATTAGTGTCAACAATATATAGGTATAACAAATAAATTTGGCCCATTGTTGCTAGAAGCCTGTGAATGCTAACTGCAGATTGATCCAGGCATTCTTGATCACACTTTCATAAGGCACGTATATTGGTTTATAGATATTCACCCAGTGTTTTAGCTACATATTTCAATAAACTAAACAAACAACAGGTGTTCATTTCGCTGTCAATCCCGATCTTATTCCAATAAGTAATCCTTCATAAGTTTTCATTCGGTTTCTTTGAAACCTGGTAGTAGTTAGTGTTAATTGCTATCATAAATATAGCTGTAAAATAATATCTCTCCAGTCAACTTTCTCCATGATTTTTTAGCCCACCCTCATCTGATGGTGGGTTATTCAAATCATCCTGCGTCCATGGTCCATCCGTCCATCTTTCGTCGTCCATCCTTAAACAATTCTTGTTATCGCTATTTCTCATGAAGTACCGGAGGGATTTCTTTAATTTTATATGTAGGTTCCCCTTGGTCCCTAGTTGTGCAGGGCAACTTTTGAGACTGATCAGATAAACAACATGGTCGACAGGCAGCCATCTTGGATTTTGATAGTGAAGGTTTGTTATCGCTATTTCTCGGAAAGTGCCTGAGGGATCTTTCTCAAATTTTATATGTAGGCTCCCCTTGGTCCTTTGTTGTGCAGGGCAACTTTTGAGACTGATCGGATAAACAACATGGCCGAAAGGCAGCCATCTTGGATTTTGATAGTGAAGGTTTGTTATCGTTATTTCGCGGGGAGTACTTGAGGGATATTTCTCAAATTTGTTATGTAGGTTTCCCTTAGTCCATAGCTGTGCAGGACAATTTTTGAGACTGATCGAATAAACAACATGGCTGACAGGCAGCCATCTTGGATTTTGATAGTGAAAGTTTGTTATCGCTATTTCGCAAGAAGCACCAGAGGGATCTTTCTCAAATTTTATATGTAGGTTCCCCTAGGTCTGTAGTTGTGCATGTTTAATTTTGAGACTGATCAGATAAACAAAAGGTCCGACAGGCAGCCATCTTGGATTTTGACATTAAAGGTTTGTTATCGCTATTTCTCAGGAAGTACTTGAGGGATCTTTCTCAAATTTGATATGCAGGTTTTACTTAGTCTTTCGTAGTGCAGGTTAACTTTTGAGACTGATCAGATTAATAAAATGGCTGACAGGCAGCCATCTTGGATTTTGATAGTGAATTTTTGTTATTGCCGTTTCTCAATAAGTAGTGGAGAGATCTTTCTCAAATGGATCAAAAATGGCTAAAGGAAGAAGTATATATGTGAAATGACAAATCTCACTTTGAAGGTTGTCTTTATACATAACAGTATTAAGTTTCGATCAAAAGTTACCTCAAGGTGCATTTACTGTTAACATGACTCGATCAAACAGATTAGAGAAAAGAAGAGAAAAAATCGAACTGACAAAGAACTAAGGAAGATGGTACAATGGTGGGTGCAAAGATCCCTCTTTTGTTTGTTTTAATGGAACTTTATGAAGGTTTTTCCTGTCATGAGATTGATTAAAAAGACAGAATTGTAGACAGTATGATACATTTCTGTGTATAGCCAGTATTGGATTTAAGCATCAAACTGCTCAGTCGATATGTATATATAGAGCCACAATATTCCACCATCCAGTGCTACTGATATTGATGAGCAGATTTTGTATGTTACAACCCACATGACCAATAGTAAGCTATTCTGTAGGCCTCTTAGCTCTTCTCCTGTTAAACATTAAGGCTTTGCGATTGTAATAGAGTATTGATTTTTGGTGGAAACCTTATTGAATTTTACTTTGGTTTTCTGCTGATTTGCATTGATATTATTACTGTAGATTCAATCTTGCATCCGTCTGATTAAAACTAGTGTTATTCTGATGCAATTTTGTTGTATGTCCTGGACAGGAATATCTGATCTAGAGTGCACATGTATATATATTAAGCCCTGTTACAAGGTGCACAGAGTATAGTCTGTTCGTTTAGTTCTTCTGTCTGATGAAAAGTTCCAAGGGTTGATGACGTCTCCCAGTGTATTTTGTATGTTACACCAAGGGTGATGACACAAGATGTCCTAATCATGTTTAAGTTATGATTGACTGCCAGTTTGTAGGGGTTCCCTGACATGGAAACATTTTTAGATTCTCTTATGCCAAGGGGTGTTAGGATAAGAAAAATCCACCTGACAAATTTTCAAATATGTAAAACCTGAAGTTTGCTGAGTTTTTTTCTCTCACAAATTAGGAAATCTTGGGCTTGGTATTTCCTTATCCTGTACCTCTGGGCATGTCAAAAAAGTATTGTTACTACATATACAAGACATGAAATCGTTTGTAAGATAGAAATTTCCTACACCCTTTTAATTGTGCTGAACAATTGATTCTATCATACACATACAGGAATGAGATACATGTAGCTACTATCTATGTGGGTAACACACAGTGCTTTAAGCTACACAATACTTCACACTTCACTGATACTCACTGATAGCCATGGTACAATCACATTATAAAATCTGCAAAATTTTCTACAATTATCTTGGCATGTAGAAAAAGCCTATGCCCATCCTTTAATGCCTTCAAGCTTAAGGTATCAAGTTTTCAGAGTGACCTGCTATTTTTCAAGTCAAGACAAACATGTACAGTACACTGCATGTAGATGACACCAGTTGTGACATCAATGAATGCATGTAGATGACACCAGTTGTGACATCAATGAAATTGCACACAAACATTTGGTACACACTTTCCTTAATGTCCTGTAATTCTAATGGGATAATATAGAAACTGTTTGCAAGTCTAAGGAAAACCTTGATTTGCACTTCCGACAAGACCTCTGTTCACAAAAATAGAAATAGTTAAATATTCAGAGTCTGCTAATAAGTTGAAATAATTAAATAGAAATTTAAAAAAAAGTACCTGAGATTATTTTTTTTATTTAAGTAAATAATGTCTAAGATTAATAAAATTTTGATGAAATGATGTTAGGATTTGTTTGCATTTCTTGCAATTGGCACAATCAAATTTTTGAGACGGATTGACAATCTAAAGTTGGTGGAATATTTTTGTCATGTAAAGGGGAAAGATGTTGTCGTCATGTACTTGAATTGTTTTTTAAAATGATGTAGTTCTTGTGGAATATTACAGTGGTTCCCCACTGGGATTGCTGTGGTTGTCAAAAGTGCTTGAGGAAAATTGAACCAACATCCATTATTTAACCTTCAACCCATGTTCACATTAATCCGATTTTGAAATTTTTGCCTAAATAAAAATATGTCACATTGCGTGTTATATCGTTAAAGCAGTACTAATAAGGTCTGGAATCCCCCGGAGGTGTACCTGGAGTATAATTTTGAGTTATATTGTCCATAATAAAATTAACTACAAGACAATCATGTTATATTGTAATAGTACTTTTGAAAGTGACTCGGGGAGTTGACAATAAAATTGTCCAACAAAATTTAATAAATTTTCCGACTTGGTACACCATTTATCACTAGACAGCGCCCTTAATTTCCCTTGGCTGATATTTCAGAAAAAATATAAACGTCTGCACTCAAAGAGTCTAGCTGTTCTGCACCAGTTTGGCTTTATTTTAACTAGCTAGTGTAACCAAATTTCTCATGCATGGAAGAATGGATTTTATGTATATTCATTATCTGTTAGTTTGTACTGAAAAAAAATGTGGACAAATTTCTATTAAGATTTCTTTTAAAATTATATTTATTCCTGATGTGTACCTATAAACGATTTATACCAATCATAGTCACACTGCTAGTGACAAACATCTTTTGCTTTATTCCACTTGTGATGAAAATGTTTGAGAACGGTTCGTTAATATTGGTCATGGTTATGACCCCTAAACCTTCCTGTGAACATAGGCGTGGGCAAATATGGTGTTGAAATTAAATTTTTCATATTTACTTTCATTGTGACATCATAATTCACAAGGTTTTACCCTGGTTTAAAAGAAATTAGGTGTAAAGTTATATTCATCAGGCATAATATTATTATAGTTTTTAGTATAAAATGTTTCTCAAGATGATGCCCAAGGATCCTTGTACCCCTGCCAAAATATAACTAAGTGTTGGAAACTGCTTTTACTGGCATGTCTTGATAGCTCATTTCTGAAAGAAAACCATACCTTGTGGGACTTTTATAAAAAGTAATAAATACGAAATAAACGGTGAACAAAATATTTTTGATTTGAACCCTGGACTTCCACTTGTTATACTAATTAACGCTTTAACGGATTGAGCTACCGGAACAACAGATGTTTCCTGGCCCAATTGTGCTACAGTTATATCCAAACGGAAGTTAAGGGGAGGTTACTGTATATTGGGAAAACCACAGTACAGTGGGACAGGGATCCTTAACTGATTACTCTAGTTCCTGTTAGTTACTTTGAAAGAATATGGACGTATCTTACCTTGACTAGTTGGGAAGCCTGCACTCTCATTAGACTAAAGTTACTGAAATGTCTACTTTACGAAATGTCTGTGTAAGTACAAATCATGGTGTATTGAAGTAAAACCCTGGTACCTGGTATATCACTTTTGTGTGACTGTCTACAAAATGTCTATCATTATCATATTTAATTTTGTTTCATTATTCAGAATTATCAGAGATTCTATGATGAAAGGATCGTGAAGTTTGGCACAGTGAACAGTATGACCTTGGTAACCGAGATGGCCGAGAAGCTGACCACAATGTTGGGTGGAAAAATGGAGTCTCTTCGGGTAAGTGCAGGAACATTTCTTAACTGTTGTGTCTTTGTCAGGAATTCTTATTTGTAAAGAGCAAATTCAACTTTTTTCCACGAATCACATGTTCCTTTCTTTAAAAGGCACATGAGCAAAGAGACTTGTGTCTCAGTCAAATCCAAGGGCCTTTGTGAGGCACAAAGAAAGAAAATTGGCTTGAATTTCAAAATCTTCTTCTTCAGACCGAGAAGTCCTAGAATCAAATACTCTTCATATATATGGAAATGTCTAAGGTGCTTTATGAAGATGGTGAATTTCATTATCCCTGAGTCATCCCTTCCCTGCAGGCTGGGGAAGGGATAGATAGGAAATAGGAATTTTATACAACATTTCAACCAATCTCTGATGTCGTGTGACTCCCCTTATCGATGTGTATTTACTGGATACAACAAACTACCACACATGGCTGTATTCTATGTATGTTAAACATGTGCATTTGACATTGTGTTGTTACAGCCTATGTGGCAACCAATAACTTTTAATAGCTTGAATACTAATTACCTCGTGGAATTTCATAGCCTATCACCATGGTTAAAACAATAAAGCTACCTATTACTTCTGTCTGAGCTTTGGGACCTACATTTACCTGTGCAACTGTCTGACTGCCATGATGCAACTAAGCACAGATTAATGAAAAGGGCCGATGAATATGCTCCCCTAAGGTCATACTATACCTGTGATAGGAAATTCTAGAGACATCCTTATGATGCAGCATTTCTGGTGTCAAGCAGGTCAACCATGCAAACAAATGGGAGATTCATTGGAATAGTAAAAGTCTGCAGGTTACGACCACAGTTTTTGGGTCTGACCTGTATGTAGCTACAAGATGTGAGTGAGCATGACTTTGCAGGTCTCTATCTGCTAGAGATCTCGGGATTGAATAGTTGATTTTGAAATAAACACAAAGTTAACGTTCATACACTCATGATCAGAATTTGATTAAAATGTTTTTTCATGTTCCAGGATTTGATTCAAACGTTTTTATGTCCCGGCCATTTTATGATGATGCAGTATTTCCCATGTCTGTCTCGTCATGTCGTGTCCCCTCTCGATTCACTGATTCATTGCTTTCAGCTGCTACATTCAGATTTTGATAAAACTTTATACTATAAGGTCAAGTACTAGAATACCTTCAAAGGAACGGTTCCAAGGTCAAGGTCACTATTATATAGATTATTCTTCATGGAGATATTTGTCCACAATTTCAGTGATATCACTCCAGTAACTTCATTTGTTAACAGGTTTTGTTTGATCAAATTTTTACAAAGGTCAAGGGTATGTGAATATTTCAAATACTTTGTACTTTGTGCTTCAGGAACTAATGGTCACCAAAACGGGGGATATTAATTTGGGTTTGTCTGTCTGTCTGTCACGCTTTGTTTCCGTGCAATAACTACAACAAATAATAGCTGATTTTCTTCAAACTTGGTCACAGAGTTAAATGCCTTAAGGGCTTGGCCAAGTTTGATGACCACCTTCAGCGGACCCCATTTGGTGGAGTTATGGCCCCTTGAATAACGAAAAACGTCATTATCTGCCGTTTCTGTTCATTAACTCACGCAAATATTATCCGATTGTCTTCAAACTTAGTAACAGGGTTCAACACAATAAGGGCTCGACAGCGTTTAACAACCACTTTAATTGGACTCCATTTGGCAGAGTTATGGCCCCTTGATTAACGAAAAACTTCATTATCTGCTGTTTCCGCCTAATAACTCTAGCAAATATTAGCCAAATTCATTCAAACTTGATAACAATGTTTGTGTTCCTCTGTCTTTCCACCTATCTCGGGCACTCTTTCGTTTTTGTGTGATAATTTCTGTAGATATTGTTCAGATGTTTCAGCCGAATTCCGTATGCACATCCGACTCATGCTAAGTTTGCCAACAGATGTGATTTGTGCATATTTATGGATAATCAATGAGGTATAGGGCTTTTTTTCCCCTTCAAGTTTCAAGCTATACATTATGTCTCAACAGCAGGATACTCACATGTTTAAACCTGACCTCAATAACGTTAACCTACAATATGTCCTGCAAGCGGGGGATATAAATTCCACAAATTTGCTTGTTTTCAAATTACTTTCAAGTTCTGCTATTTCAAGGCAATTTTTTCTGGCTTTAATTTGCAGCAACTCATGTATCAACCTATTGTGGACTTCTGAACCTTGTTTTAGACTCCTACAACCATAGCAAGCATCCCATCCCTGTACAGCCTGCCCCATGTTCTTCTACTTGTCCGCGCAGCGAAGTCCTTTACCGTAATTTATTGTGTCACATTAAAAATGGGAAGTTTGGTATGTTTTGCAATTGTTCAAATTTTTAAAAAGTAGTGTTGGTTTTAAAGAACCTAAAACACTACATTTTTGGCCGCAGTATTTTGTTGGAATGTGGATTGCTTACAATTGTAAAACTAATCAATTATGTTTTATCTAAATGGACTGTGTGGTGCATGTATGTGCACAAATGGAGTATTTATTAATTTAGAATGCATTATATTGACAATTGATATTTTGCACCAGCAGTCAAAGTAGGGTGTATGTTAAAGTGAAATGTTGTGTTCAACACCTTCTAGCTAAAAGTTACATCATACACAGATGACAGCTGTACATTTATTACTCTAAAACCATCCATCTGTAACTTTGCCTGTTGTTGTGATTTTTTTTTCTTTTTTTTTCTCTTCTCTTACTATAATAGCAATGACTAGATAAGCATCAGTTACAATGGTGCAGTGTTTTGTCAGTGTCCAGGGACTGTTATATAAAACCATTGCTGTGCTGTTGGCGAAAGTACTCTTAGGCTAACATTTGTTGTGTTGTTGAGTATAGAAGTAATTTATGAGGCACATAGTCTATAGTCTAGTGGTAGGATGCCGGGCTCGTGACGAAAGGGTTTCGAGTTCTGGTCACGTTACGGCACGTGCACTCGCACTGTATCTTTGAATAAGATACTTTATGCCGCTTGTTCCAGTCTACTAAGCTGTAAATGAGTACATGGTTGGGCAGTGCTGGAATTGTTGAATGCTTAAGCTGTGAGCGCCAAAAATGGCAGCACCGGCTGTATATGCTCCCTAGGGAGTTGAGAAAGGTATTGGCTGGTTGCAAAGGCTCTATAACCACAGATAATAATTTGTGAACCACTTTGAGACGACCTACAAACTAGGTTTTGATAAAGCGGTATATAAAAACCACGAATTATCCTTATTTACTGTTAACTGGTAGTAGGTTAAGCTTTATTGTAATAGGAATACATGGGACAAATCGATGGATTAAGGAATATGACAAATTAATGCATTATGGTATTTTAAAAAAGCTATTGTTTTTCAAATTTAACAGAAAACTTAAAATAATCAGTTTAGGATACTCAAATTTTAAACGGAAACTTTGCGCTGTAATAGGGTATTTCAAATTCAAAAATAATTTACCACCGGTAATGTTATCATTGTCAGTTCAAGGGCCAGGGCTAACTACATACTCTTGAGTGATATAAGCTTCAATCTGTCATGGTAGTGACATCTTCAGTGTAATATGATCCCATTCCCAATATTTCTGAACATTGGTATTATTTCAAACAATCCTTTCCTTTTTCTCCATAAATCAACAGAAAAGTTTGAGTGACCAGTGAAATCAAATCATAGTGAGGTAGACTACCTAGGTAACGACTAAATTGTAATTAATCTGAGAAGTATCCAACCATCCTTACCTTTGATGCTGGTGAAAAATACATTTAACACACATTTGTAATAGCCACGTCTGGTTCATCATTTCTTATCATCCAAGGTGGTTATGCTACATTGCATCTTAATTGAAATGACAGTTTTTATCTAAAGCTATGATTGGAATGATGTTCATTTGACTTCATTTTTCTCTCATAACAGTTTCACACGATTTATCAACAGCAGAATCTTTTTAAGGAAAAAGTGATAAATAATTGCACATGTAGGAAATGTGAACAATTAAGTGAAGCAGATTGTAAAGGTCTGTATCCTCCTCCTTTGGAGAGAGCTGAAGGAGTCGATCGATATCTGTATCTTGGTCCGTTGGAGGGGGCTGTAGGAGTCTGTATCTTGGTCCTTTGGAGGGGGCTGTAGGAGTTTGTATCTTGGTCCTTTGGAAGGGCTTTGGAGTCTGTATCTTGGTCCTTTGGAGGGAGCTGTAGGAGTCTGTATCTTGGTCCTTTGGTAGGTGCTGTTGGAGTCTGTATCTTGGTCCTTTGGTAGGTGCTGTAGGAGTCTGTATCTTGGTCCTTTGGAGGCAGCTGTAGAAGTCTGTATCTTGGTCCTTTTGAGGGAGCTGTAGGAGTCTGTATCTTGGTCCTTTTGAGGGAGCTGTAGGAGTCTACAACTACAGACTACATGTATCTTATTTGCCCTGTAGAGGGAGCTGTAGGAGTCTACGACTACAGACTACATGTATCTTATTTGCCCTGTAGAGGGAGCCTTGGTCCTTTTGAGGGAGCTGTAGGAGTCTTTATCTTGGTCCTTTGGAGGGAGCTGTAGGAGTTTGTATCTTGGTCCTTTGGAAGTGCTTTGGAGTCTGTATCTTGGTCCTTTGGAGGGAGCTGTTGGAGTCTGTATCTTGGTCCTTTGGAGGGGGCTGTAGGAGTTTGTATCTTGGTCCTTTGGAGGAAGCTGTAGGAGTCTGTATCTTGGTCCTTTGGGGGGAGCTGTAGGAGTCTGTATCTTGGTCCTTTGTAGGGGGCTGTTGGAGTCTGTATCTTGGTCCTTTGGAGGGGGCTGTTGGAGTCTGTATCTTGGTCCTTTGAAAGGGGCTGTAGGAGTCTGTATTTTGGTCCTTTTGAGGGAGCTGTAGGAGTCTACAACTACAGACTACATGTATCTTATTTGCCCTGTAGAGGGAGCTGTAGGAGTCTACGACTACAGACTACATGTATCTTATTTGCCCTGTAGAGGGAGCCTTGGTCCTTTTGAGGGAGCTGTAGGAGTCTTTATCTTGGTCCTTTGGAGGGAGCTGTAGG